CCAGGTGAGGCAGATGCCGCTGGTCCGGGGACCCCACTTTGAGAACCACAGTCTGGACTAACGCCCTCTGCGTTCCATCCCAGCTCTGAAAGGCAGGTTGATGGTTGATGCCTCTGGAATGCAAAAGTGCCAGCACTCTACTCGAGGGGAGGAAGCAGCCCACCCCACACAGGACAAGGGCCCTATGAGCTCCTGTGACCACCACCTGGTAAGACCACCAGGCAGGAACAGCTGCCAAGCACGTACCAGGCACCTTCCTGCTACTGAGCTCTAATCGCAGAAATTCACGCTTTGTGAATTGCTTTGAAAACTCTTAAAGAGATGTTTTTAAAAATGCATGTGATGTCAAAATATGCAACAGATTAATATATAAAGTGGAAAAGCATTAAGTAAGCTGATGGGGCTGTAGAATTTCTGTGTTAGTTTCCTGGGGCTGTTATCACAAAGCACCACAAACTAGGGGACTTAAACAACAGAAATGCATTCTTTCCCAGCTCTCGAGGCTGGAAGGGCAAAAATCAAGGCGTCTGCAGGGTCATGTCCCTCTGAGGGCTCTCGAGGGGGATCTTTTGCAGGACTCTGTCCTAGAATCTGGCGGCTGACTCGTGGCAGCATCACTCTGCTCTCTGCCTCTGTCTTCACCTGGCCCCCTCTGTGTGTCTCCCTGCGTCCTCTCTCCGTCTTATCAGGACAGCAGTCATTGGGTTTAGGGCTCAGCCTAAATCCAGGGTGATTTCATCACAAGATTCTCAACCAATTATATCTATTTCCAAATAAAGTTACATTCCGAGGTTCCAGGTGGACGTAAATTTTTAGGGGATACTCTTCAACCCACTACTGTCTCCTTACTCCTTTCTTTTAAATGTCACTCTAATAAATTTGGGACTTTGGATTTTCTGCTCACAGCAGATAGGAAGAGGTGATGGGGTACGTAATGAGGACGGTCCCTGGCAGGCCCTCCAACAGGGACGGTGGTCACAGAGACAGCAAGAAAAGCGCAACAAGCTCTAACCAAGCCCTGGAGCTTGGGGACGCTCAGCGTACAAGGGCCTCCAGCCCTCTGCCCCTGGTCCAGCTCTGTGCATAAAGCTGACCCGATCTTTTTTTTCCTCCCAATTCTTTTCAACATCCTCCGCTTTAGGAGGCAGGACAACGTGCCTTGCATTTTAGAATGGTCCAAAAGGAGGAAAATTAGGCTTAGGTAAAAATTCAATCTCATGGAAAACCTGCTCACGAGGAACCCACACCCACCCCTCAGGTGGACCAGAGAACCAAGGAGCGCCTGTCTGATAGAGAAAAGATTGTAAATTATGGGTGTTTGGGAAACAACCAGGCCATGGCTGGAAGTCCTAGGTCAGCTCCGAGCCTGTGGACCAGCCCTGTGCTAATGTCACTCGGCTGCGTCTACCAAAACCCCAGCCCCAGCGGCAGGAGCAGAGCCTTGACAGACAGAAAAGCCCCATTAGGTTATCGCGGAGCCGCCTGCAGTGCAGCTCAGTCTCGCGCTGTGGAATCGCCAGCACACTCCGGGGACCCTGTGAATTTTAGACACTCGCCCAGGGACCCCGGCTCCACAGAGCGTGGAATGAATTGCACTCATCCATCTGTGGGCTTTTAAAAAATTCAATAATTAATTCAAGCATACAGTGGTATTACTGTTATGAGAATTTGGCCTCTCTGTGGTTCTTTACTTTGGCAAAGTGCTTTCATAATCATTTACCAGCTAAATAATTTAATACAAGTTACTGCTACGCGCTGGAAACCCAGTGCTTTGCTGGCGCTGAACGATCCTGGAAAGCTGTGACTAGACCAGGGAAGAGCTGAAT